TGTTGAGCAGACTCTAGGTCTTCAGATGGAGTCAGGCCCTTGTATTTTTTCAGTAGCCAAGTCTTATCCTTAATCTCCACAATTTCTGTAGTTCCACCAGCTGACTAACTTCTCTCCGAGTTGCCTTGATCTTAGTCTCCAACCTCATTTTCTGGGGGGATATGTACTGCTGTTCTTCTTGATCATGTAGCCATGCATTTCCAGGATTACAGCGGCTATAGCATATACTAGTTCATTGGTTTGAGTTATGGTGGTAGTAGGGGTTGTTGTGAAGGCTCTATTGACATCTTCTAGCATACTATCTGATGGTACTTTTCCACTGAGGCTTGGTAACTGGTCTCGAGGGTTGACTGTAGCTAGTTTATCAATGATCTGATGCCTCATATCAGCTGTTGTGCTCTGTAATGGAGGGGGTGGCAGTGATGTTCCAGCTTCAGGTGTTGACTGCACATCCAGTTCTTCCAGGTCTTCTTGAGTCCTGGATGTTATGTCTAGTTGGTCTTTCTCAGGTTGTGAGAGCAGCGTCCTCTTCAATATGTTGAAATATTAAGTAAGTAGCTGTTTCTCATTTAGTATGGATGTAGGTCTTCTGTCCATCCATAGTTCCCTCATATGTTTCATATACCCATGTTAACATATATAACTGTTGTTGTAAAAGCTTAATTTGTGAGAAATACTTATCTTCTCTGGAAATTTCTTTAATTCTTCTTCTTTTCTCTTTATCTCATCCAAAATAACTTGTGTTTTCTCTTGCCTCTTCTTTTTGAGTTCACTATTATGTTGTATAAAATAAATTCTAATAAAAGCTTTAGGAGAGATAAACCAATCTTCCAAGAGAGAAGTAAACCCAAACAAAATTTAAAGAAAGGAAAAAAGATAATGTGTAATGATGCAAGCCTTTCCTATTCAAGAAGATAAATATAGAGTTGCCTTGATCAGAGTCAACTGCTAAACAGAAAATCCACAAGGCAGTGCAAAATAAAATGCAAAATACTGTAAATGTTCCAGGTAGATCACAAGATGGTGGTGATTTGCTGCAAATTAAAAAACAAAACAAAACCTCTCTTTAAAGAGATTGGAGGCTAAAATCTAGGAATAAAAATTCTACAGAAATATTATAACTTCATAAATATAGTACTATGTATAGAGAAATGAAAGACAGGAGACTTTAAGCACAATAAAGCAAAGATTACATTTAACACAACATTCCTAATTAAACATTTTTACCAGTCTTTTTAGAAATAACAGTTTCTTGAGATAAATATTCCCTTGTCTCAATTATTTCTGGACTTCTCACTTTCTGGGCATTCCTGTAAGTTAATTCTAGAGTTGCTAGAGAGATGGGCAGAGCCCCAGTCCTTCCCCCAGTCATGGTGCCCCTTCTTTGTCTCTTCCCTCTTCCAGTTCTCACATCTGCCTTTGTTTTAAAAAAGACTCAAACCTTCTATCTCCAAGAGGGAGAGGCAGGGATAGCTCCCTGTGTCTATGTGATAAACAACTCTTCCTGGTAAAGATGGTTGATTGCACCTGTCTTATAGCTAGATTGGCAAATTGTGAATGTCAGTTTGTAGCCTTTCATTTGCAACCGGCCCTATGTCTGAATTCTGTTCTTGATCAAATAATTTTATGTAATACTGTCTATTGGGAAATACTTGAGTTTATATCAGCACCACCACCATCCAGATCCTATCTTGCAGATTAAGTGTTTTTAATTTTCAATAGATACATCGTTAATGCACTTAACTTTTAATTATGAAGATATTTTCAATCAAATTGTATTACTTTTTCAGGAACTTCAGAGATGTAAATCCAACACTGTGTGCTATTATGAGGATTAATTTGCATATGATTGTTGCAAATGTACAAACTTGATAAGTAAATAAAATTTGTGAATGGAGGGCTTGTCTACAATAACCCTTAAACTGTTGGTGTATCAGACCCTGATAATTATTATTTCACACTTTATGCTTATTTGTGTATGCTAAAATGGAATTGAGTTCTGTAATGTGAAAAACCTGAATGTGCAGGCTTGCCTGTTTAATCTGATCTAAAGACATAAAGAAAAACAATAGGCTGTTTTCTTATCTTGTTTTCAGGGAGACTGGGATGAAAGGAGAGATTCTCATCAATGGACAACATCGTGATTTGCGTTCTTTCCGCAAAGTGTCTTGTTACATTATGCAAGATGACATGCTGCTTCCACATCTTACTGTCCAAGAAGCTATGATGGTATGATTATTAACCACAGTAACAACTTCTATACAATATGCAGTTATGTTTTTTACTGAATTAGCTACTTTGCAGGTTATGCAGCAATGATCATGAAAAGAATGATCTTTTCATTGATGCTCAAAGAATGATGCTCTTTGTGCATCAAAGAGCATGAAAAGAAATAAAGTGCATTTATGAAAAGGATCAAGAGGAATTATGGGCAGCAATAATTTGCCATCCCAATTCACAGGAGGAAAATGTCTTGCTGAAGGACTGATAGACAGATTGTACCCTTTGCCCAGCAATGGATTAATTAAAAAAATAAAAAGAATGGTTAGGAGATTATAAATTGTACACTGAGCTTTCCTGGAAGAAAGGAATTTGTAAACTGGAAACTGGTGATTTTTTAAAAAGCTATTTTTATGAAGCTATATTATAATTCACAGGATCTGCACATTTACAGAGTGGATTTCAAGTTAAAGAAATACAGAAGCAACTAGAATCCAGTTATTTATTTACACATTTTAGAGCCTTTATATGCTGCCCCAAATCATTACATTCTGGGCAGATCACAATTGTATTACAGTGGTGTAGGTTATTAAAAATATGTGACCTTTCAACATCCTATTTCTTCCATACTTAGAACACTAGAGAGCAGTTTATGCATCGTGTTCATATTTTAAACGTAAGAGAAGTGTCCTGCCTGCATTCATCAATAACCATTGTGTTTCACACTTTCTGCCATCATTGTACATCATGCATACAAGGAGCTCTAGAGTAGATACTGCTTAGAGGAGCCTGTCAGTGGATTAAGAGCTGGAAACAGATTGATCTTGGGGTTCTTTTCAGCCAGACAGTTTTAATGATATCCCACTCATATCTGTATTGCCAATTCTTTGTCACCTTCTCTTATCAAGTTGGGGGTCTCTTGTTGACCAGGTATGTCCTTTCTAAGCAAGCATTCAGTCAGAAATTAAAGTCTGGCCTTTTTGAGCACTGTGTCACAGATGCTGAATTGAACAGATAAATCTAACAATGATATGCAGGTCTCAGCCTGAGAGTTTTATCAAGACCTGCAAGTCTTGAACTATGTAGCTGGCTCTCTTGAATTGCAAAAGAATCAAATAAAATCTTTTTGTGGGGAGGGGGGATAGTATACATAAATGCATTCAGAACTTTGGAAAATATTATTTTCCTAAGCAGAATTATTAGAATACAAAAGTATAATTTTCAGATGAAATGTTTCCACATCGTTTCTTGAAGAGGTGGTTGAGTCAAAGGTGGATTTTTTTCTCTTTGTGAATACCTGCAAGCTTCTCATATTACCCTAACAAATATTTATCCTAACCCAAACTGTTGATAATATTTCATCTCTTAAGGATTTGTTTCCTGGTTTCCGTACAATAATAGTCTGGATCTGTATTTTATAGAAACAGCCATATCACTTGCAAAAGACCTATACTGTATTATAGAAACCGTTCTTTGCATGAATGAGCCCCCCCCCCCAAATCAAATGACTTAATGAGGATAATATTCTACTATTTCAGGTGTCTGCTCACCTGAAACTTCAAGAAAAAGATGAAGGCAGGAGAGAAATGGTATGTGCGTTACTTTATTCTGACTTAAAAACCTAGCACCTGTTTTCTTGTAGAAAACAGTATATTTTTTATGTCTGAAAGTATTATTTTTGTGTCTGAAAGCAGTACATTTAGAATATTTTACAGGACATTTTCTTTTTTTGGCCAGATTTAAGAAATGTTGAATGAAAAGGATACCCAGTTGGCATTTAATTTATGAAATTAAAAACAGTAGGTTGAAATGACTGAATGGAAGAACAAATGGGAAATATAGATACAGAGGAATTTGTGCAATGATAGTAATACTTCATTGAACATGATATTTAGGTTCTTAGCCAGATTGGTAACTCAGAGTTTGATCTTATAGTAAAAGATGTTTTTAAAGGCATGTGGTTAAAAGATCCTTTTCATTGAAGAGCCTGTATGATATAGTGATTAAGATATTGAACCAGGAGATCCAAAGCGAAAGTCTATTCAGCTATCAAACTCACTGAGCAACTTGAGGCCATCACTGTCTTTCGGCCCAATTGACTTAATAGGGTGGTTGTTGTGGTGATAAAATTAGGAGAGAGCCCCATATATGCTTCCTTGAGGTCCCAGGAAAAAGATGGGAGATAGTGGAAGGCTAATTATGAAAGTAATAATGCGTGAGGCAAAGGCATATTTAAAACCATAGCATGGAACATTTAGCACAACTAGAATCTTTTCAGTAAAAGCTGAAGACCTGGGCATATTTACTCTGAAAGAAGTCAAATGGAACTTCGTGGTAGATGTGCGTGGGCTAAAAATGTAATCTTCACTGTTTTTAAAATATATATATTTTAAGGATATATCTTCCTAAGAAAAGCTGGTATCTATCTAAAATTTAAGTGCAGATGAATCAGAACATTCTAATTAGGGTATGAGAGATTCCTCTTTCATAGGGCTACTATATCTGAGCTGGAAAAATACAGATAAAGATGAAAGTAAAGAGATAAAAAAGCACTTAACACTCTGCTGCAATCTAGAAGTCAGTCATATTTTTGCAGTCCAAATAGGGTAGCCTCAATCTTTCCTCTGTTTTCTAGTGGAGAAGTGAGAAAGGAGGCTCTGGTAAATGATAAATTGGAGCCCTACCAGACCATATAGTACATAGATTAAAATAGAATAGGATCATTGTTTTCAATAAAGAGGACTACTTAGGCTTATTTCTTTACAACCTTAACAATAATTAGAAATAGCAAACTACCAAAGAGTTAAATCATGCTAAAATAATTATTAAACAATGTGCTTCCTAACTGATTGATTAGCCAGATTGTCCTCAGAACTGACATATTAGAAATTTTATAAAATATCTATCCACATGGTTCCCTATTTTTTTTTTTAGCAAATCTCAGGAAGCCAGTTATGTCTCAGAAGTCAACTATTGTGATATGTACTGTTGAATATGATTATAGAAATTATTAGAAAAGTTTCCATCATGTTGTTCCTCTCCACAGGTGAATGAGATCCTGACAGCTTTGGGTTTGCTATCATGTGCCAGTACTCGTACTGGAAGCCTTTCAGGAGGGCAAAGGAAGCGTCTCGCGATTGCTTTGGAACTGGTGAACAACCCACCAGTTATGTTTTTTGATGAACCTACCAGGTAATTTGTGTTCTGGAGTAAAGACTGACAATTATAAATATGCTTTAAAACATTTATTATTCTTAGTTAATATCTGAAGTATTGAAAAGCAGAAAATTTCCTCTTTTAAGTTTTTTAATTCAAAATTTGAAATAGATCTTTTTAAAGAAAATAGAGGCCTTTGACTGTGGAAATTCACTTTTCCCATATATGTATTATATTTACCTGACAGGAAGATAATCCTGAATTTAAGATGTTCCTTTCTTCCGAAGGAAGGATAGAAAAAAATATATATAAACACAGATAAAAATCCAATGTAATGCCCAGCTTCCTCATCTTGTCACCCTAGGGTTGCCAACTCCATATGAAACCAGTACTGGAAATTTGCATAAATATGCCCAATAAGTGTGTGCATATAAATACACTTGAATGTTTACGCCAAAGTCAAACTCCAAATGGGCATGCTTAAGACAAAAAAAGTCCATAAATTGTATTAATCATTAGTCATTCAGTTATCTGTAAAACAAGATACTTGAGTTATAAAATTCATGGATTCCCATCTTCATACATTAACATTCATTCTCTCATGCATAAATAACTCTCATACACAAGAACACACAGATATTTCCTTCCCTGATTCTAGCAGTAACAACAGAAACAAAGAGAGAATACAGGATGGAGATGGGAGGAAGAGTAGCTGCACCAGGAAAGGAAAAGAAAAAAGGAGAAAGGGTAGAACAAAACAGTGAATGAAAATTAAGTAAGGAGAAGAGATAGCTGGGTGGGGAAAGAAAGTAAAAGAGAAACTATGTTTAGATTTTATTTTTAAAAAGTTACATTTACAGGGTAGCTGGTCCTCCCAGGCAACAGCTAGTCCTTCTCATTTTCAGAGGCATCCATATTTTTCAGAACACACTATGTAACTATTTGCACCTCTACCCATTTGTAGCAATTATTTGGAAAAAAAAGACCTTACCTTCCTATCAGGTAAATAAAGTGTCAGCAGTGAATTAGTGTGTCAATCCATCCTTTATCTCTTCATTAAGCACAGTGTACATATCTGTGGGTTATGAAATCCTGCATTTAACTGGGGTTCCCTACTGCTATGTATGCTACCTTGAGCTCCATAAGGAAAATGAGGAATAGAACATAAGCAGTGCTCTGCTGGGTTGGACCTGGCCCATCTTCTCCAGCAGTCTGTTCTCACAGTGGCGAACCAACTGCACAAGGAAACCCACTAGTGTCCCAGCAGAGGCAGTCACACTGCCATCAAGGCTATTAGTCATTGATCCCCATGGCTTCATGAGTTGGTCCTGAAATTTGTTATATATCTAACAACAACAACAACAACACCATTTGGCACTGAGAATACCAGGAGGTTTGTGGATGTATTCCTTGTCAACTAGCCAGCTTCCCTGATTTTGGACATCTTTAAAAGCCATTTTTAATTAGAAAAAATGATAATCCAGCATACTGTAAAGCAAAGGGCCAGCCTCCTACATTTTCAAGAGTGTGTCTGGGCCCCCAATAAATGTAAAAAAAAAAAAAGGGAAATAAAAATGTTGGGTAATAAACAGATGCTTTGCAATTGTTTATATCTCCTGTAATAGCCATTTTGTGGATTGGCAAACCACCAGCCCAAAAAGGCTGCAGGGCCCTGGTTTATAGAATGAAAGGCATGAGTTCCCCTTTTTTTCCAATATCTCACTGGTGTTGTTCAATATCTTGAGCTGTTTCACAAAGGTAGTCTCCTATCAAACAACTTTGATTAACTGAATATATGCCACGCCTTTCAAAGGCTCCCAGAATGAGAGAGATGAATTTGCTCTGAGTTCATGATACTCAAACGTTGAATGTATACACATACGTACACACACACACACACACACACACATATCACTGGCAGATGAGGTAGTCAAGGGTATATTGTGTACAGAAATCATTTTGGTGCACTTAATATGGTAATAGCAACCTTGTAAATGACAAGCTAAAATGTGAAAAAAAAGTAAGAATCAAAGATTACCCTTGGGAAGTCTCTTGCTCAACTTCCATTGAAATTGAAAGGTTCCTCATTTAATTCCAAGGTCAATTTTGAATATTAGAAGAACAGAAGCTTGACAAACTATGTTTTCTTTGTTTTTTCCACAGTGGCCTAGACAGTGCATCTTGCTTTCAAGTTGTGTCTCTAATGAAGGCTTTAGCCCAGGGCGGCCGGTCCATCATCTGCACTATCCATCAGCCTAGTGCCAAACTCTTTGAGCTGTTTGATCAGGTATTATTTTGACATGTATATGCGCACACAGCGTCAGAGCCATGTGGGTCCTGGCCTTGAAGAGGCCCCTCCTCATCATTAGATGAATCTTTGGAGGCAGAAACACATTAACAGGCATCACAGAGGCCATCTGTTTTCCTAAACCACAATTTACATATACCATGTGTAATTTATTAACATAAATTAATTAACATGTGAAGCTGTTAGCTTCCAAGTTTGAGTTTCAAGTTAAAGTAGATTTTAATCTTGGTTTGCCTTCCTGCATAAGTTTCGTGTTTTAAAATTCTTGATATGTTTTAAGTAATGTGTCTCTCTACCTTAGATATTGGAAGGCATCTGTGTTAGACACCAGGGAAATAATCTGTCAGAGACAATGAGTAAGCAAAGAAGCATAGACATTGATTTTCCAAAAGCTTAACTTGAGAATGAATGTTATAACATCTTCAGTAAGATGGCAGCCTTGGAGTTTTTTTAAAACTTCAGAGGAAAGAAAGTCCAGTGTTTAAGAGTAGATATAAAAATGCTACCATCAGGTGTTTGGGGCTCAGTCCAAATCTATGGTCATTCTACCATGACCTTCACACAGTATTTTGCTACCTCAAAAACACTTTGGGATACTATTTGCTTGAAAATGGCTGCATGGCTAACTCTCCTTTGATATGGAAAACTTATGTATTTGGACACATCTCTCTGTTTCTATGTGATGCATCTTGAGAACTTCCAGTGGAAGTTCACGGGGGAAACCTATCTATTAGTGGGAACCTCCCATAGGTGATGGATTACATCTTGGGTTTTCTGGGGCCTAATGAAACATCACCTGCAAAAATGTATGAGTCAACCCAGTTGAATTACTTTGGGAATCAGTTTAGAACAGAGTGATGTAGGGAAGGTAACTTATCTCCTGCCAGCTGTTCTTTCAAAATGCTTACATTGTAGTAAATGCATTTATTAGGAGTGTGCAAATCACAGGTAATTTGCTTTAATAATGTGGTTTTCCTCATAGAATTCCACTACAGCACTTTGATGTGGTAAAATTCTGCCTTCACAAAAAGTCTAGGCAGGGCCAGTCTGCTTCGCTCATCAGATCTGCCTTGTGAATGTTAGCTGAGTGAAAGTAGCCATCCCACTTTGCTGAGCATAAGAGGGGATGTTTAATTTCACAAGTGGGAGGATGTTTGAAAGGGCTGCTTTGTTCAGATATCAACAAAGGGAAGGAAGTGGATTCTCTGTGCCCTTACTACGGCCAAAAGACTGATATTGCAGCATTGGAAAGATAAACGTAGGGCCCCATTCACTCAGTGGATTGAACACCTGATTGCATTTGCCACTTACGAGCGGATTGCCTATAGATGTAGACTTTGTATGGACAAGTGTACTGAAATATGGGACTCATTTATACAAAATACAGTAGGTTTGAAAAAAACAATGTCAGTCACATAAATGTATTGGAAATATATATGCATCTGAATAATATTTGCATTATATATCTATATCTATATATCTATTATATATCTGTATAAAGATACAGATATATTTGTAACGTTTTACTGTTATAATGATACACTGCGCTAACTTTTTATTTCCTTTGTTGTATTTTTGTCACTTTTTTGTAATAGCGCTTTTTAATGTTTTTTTTCTTCTTCTTGATAGTGTATTATTATTTTTATGTTTTGTTTTTCTTCTTCTCTTTTTTCCTTTTTTGTTATTAATTAAAAAGCAATAAAATATTTATAAAAAAAAAACAAAGGGAAGTGCTCCCTTAAAGATCTACTAGTCCTAACATTTAGCAGTGGAGTAAAACATAAGATGTTGCAGAGTTCATACACATTTTCATTCATGCAGCTTTTTAACTGCCACTCAATCTTTCTCAAACATTGAACTTTGTTACATGCCACATATGATATGTATCAAGTTTATGCAGATGTACTTAAGACATCCTTTATTTTGCTGGATGGCTAAGGAAATGTCCCTAGAAAATGCCTCTGTGCAGTGAAATGCTGCCCGGTTTTCCTTCAAAGAAGCAGAACAGCTGCTTTGCTTGATGACAATAGCTGCTGTTCATTAAATCTGTTGCTTGAGATAGATCAACCTTATCGTGACTCTTCATCAACGTGGGCAAATGTAGTTCTGTGAAGGTAGGGCAAAACATCTCTGTGAGGTGATGTAACTCTTTGAGGTAGATTGCCCATGATTGACTATTTGTATAGTCTTAACATTTAATTAATTCATATCAAAATAAAATATCAAAATAAAATTAATAATCTGTGTGTAATCAGATAAAAGTATTTAACATGTTGACATTTGCCAGCAATTAAAATAGAATATAATGGAGTTAGGAAATTGTTGAGAGATTGAAGACATTGAGATTGTATTTTTAGGAAATTTGTGATAAGAAAAATGGGATTACAGATTACCTTAGACTTGAATTAGCAGTGGTATAGTAGTGCATGTATGCTAACATATGTAACAAATAATGTTTGTTAATTAAGGTTTAGAACTGATTTAAAGCTACACTTGAAAAAATGCTGATATGTAACATTCCATAGCAATAACAACAAGGCTAGACATGAGAAAAATAGGTGTTTTTGGTGTGTATAAGGAGACAGTTTAATTTTTATTTTAATTAAATTATTTTATTAATTAATTATTTTTAACTTTAATTATTTTTTATTTTATTTAATTAAATTAAAATACTAGAAATATCTTCCAGAAGTTAAACCTGGAAACAAAGACTATGTACTGCAAAATCCTATTGCTTCTTGGTAAGTGTACTAACATCCTGGAGATTTAACTGTATCAGTCTGGCTCCTTTTCCTTAGATAACATTTTTTGTGATAGGATTGCACACTATAATTCTATAGCTAGACAGGAAGGTTCTTCATCATTTCTTGTTTTTCTTTATTTCAGCTCTATGTCTTGAGCCAAGGGCAATGCATTTACCGTGGGAAAGTATTAAACTTAGTCCCTTATTTGAGAGATTTGGGTTTAAATTGTCCAACGTATCACAATCCAGCAGATTTTGGTGAGCAAAATGATGGAGTTTCTCATTTTCTTTCACAGGCTTTTGGGAATGATACTGAACTTGTATATATGTACATGTGCATAGTAATTAGATGGTATCTATTTCTTGATATCTTGTACCCTCTAGTGGTAGATAGATTTGCCAAACCCGGTACAAATTTTTTAAAAAAACCTCTTTGAAATAAAACTAAGTGCAAGTAAAATACAATAGAGCTGTATTTGCTGGAATTCTTCCTTCTCTTTTATGGTTAAAAATACAGAAGCTCAGGACATGCTTTATTTGTGGGATAATTTCATTTTGGACATATTCATGTGGTGCAAAGAATAACATATTGAAGTGTTTTTTTGTTTTGAATTTGTAATTCTGAATTATGGGCATGCTAACAAACTAATTAGCGTAAATCTTTCTCACTATTTTTATACCTTTATTATTGGAATTTATACCCAGACTTTCTATAAAGTAGTAGTCAAGGTCACTTATAAGAATAAGAATGCTCAATCATTTATATCCTATAAATATATCCATATAGTCATATGGATTTGAATATTTTTTTACATTCATGGAAGACATTTCTAAGATTATATTTTCTATTCTTTTTAAAAGATTTTTGTACATTTATATTGGGGGTACCTACCTAGTTAATTTAAGTTCCATCATTCATTACTACTGCTGGTGTAGGTTTTAATCACAACACAATCAGTCCCTTGAATTTGAGGATTCTGGCACCCTCATCAAAGAAATTGGGGAAAACCCTTCAGCTGACTTGGAAAATTACAGAAAAGGCTTCTGATGGTTTGTGTTCTACCCCAATGAAAATAGCACTGCAGAACCTTAAAACACATAGCAGAATCTGGGAGAGGTGGAGTTTATGGTATAAACTGTCTTGTAAATAAGCCTAAATTCAACAGGATATTGCAACCATAATCAATTTACGTTAATTGATGGGTGTACTTTACATACTGAAAATAGAATTTAATTAGGGTTGTGAAATGTTCAGGACATGCTTTTTTTTTTTTTAATGTTTCCATTTTGTATATGTTCCTGTCATATGGAGTAAAGAATAGCATATTGAAGTGTACTTTTAAAAAATTGATTATTAAAGCTATCTGCATGGACATTGAAATATAGTTCACATTTAAATTGGTTGGTTAATCAGCAATGATTGTTTAACTGGTGGACAACACTAATAGCTGTAATTATAGTTGGTATGAGTTTGCCCTGAGATACATGACATGTATTTATTATTTTCTGCAAAACTGAACCATAACAAGTTTCAATGCTGGTGCAATTATTGCGCTTAGTAACTCTCTTTACAACAAGTAATTTCCTGCTGACTTAAGATGCAGATGTCCTCCAGGAAAAATGTTTTTAATCAATTTAAACAATTTCAGAAATCGAGCAGCTTTTTAACTCTGTTTCCTCTGCAGAGAGTTAGCTGCTTTTCACAAACTTTGTCCGAATAACATGTGCACAATAAATGAACACATTGGGGAGGGTTAGATTTCAGGATTATACTGATAGCTGTGCCCCTAAACTTTCATGTTAATTGTATCATCTGAACAATCTACATTCATGCAGGATCAGTATGTGACCTTTAGCATATATTTCTATATTTGTAGCTGCAGCAAGTATTTTCTGATTCCTTATCTGATTCTCAGATCTTTGGTAATTGCTATTTTTCTTAATTTGCAATGGCTGCCATGTACTCCAAACCACTGCTTCTGATTCCAAGATAGTTTGTGCTTAAGTGATTCAACTTAGATGTTGAAACAACAGACAATATAGTTTTATTACACAAGATGGAACTCAATTTCCTATCTATACAATTCAAATGGATATTAGCCTTAATTAAAATGATCATGAATTGTATGGCATAAAAAGTTGTGTTTACTGGCATTGCTTTCAGATGCATGCCACATGCTTTCAAATGACAATAACCATTTTGACAATACAAGTAGTCCCCAGTTTAAGAACGAGTTGCATTCCCAAAGTCTGTCCTTACGTCAGATTTGTATCTAAGCCAGAACAGTATTATTGTATACTACTGTATAAGTAGTATTGTGTAATGAACTCAAACCATTGTGTATTTAACTTGAATCATTG